TAATGCGCAAATGAGCCTTCTCCCTCAGCAATCACGAGAGAAGTATTTGAAACAGTACGATATATTTAACATGTGGCGACTAGCTAAAGGAGCAAAAACTTTCTCCGAAAACGTTTTGCTGGCATATTTTATAGAATTATCTGAGACCAAGAAAGCAAGCACGCTATGGAGTACGTATTCAATGCTAAAATTAACAATTAAGATGAAGAAAGACGTTCATATCGACACCTATCATAAATTAGTGGCATTTTTAAAAAGAGCCTCATCTGGTTATAAACCAAAAAAATCGAAGGTTTTCACAGCATCTGAAATTGCAAAGTTTATTAATGAAGCACCTGATTCCGTATATTTAGCGGCAAAAGTAAGTCAATACGTGTAATTTTTTGTTGTTGATAAAATTGTACATAGTACTTACAATATTTTTAATTTGATTAATTTATTTACGATTATAAATACTTCTTTTGTTACAGGTTGTTCTTATTATTGGTATAACCGGAGCATGTCGAACAAATGAACTTACACTACTTAATGTCAATAACGTATCAAAATATTCTCATAATTCTGATGAATTGCTATTAATTAATGTACTAAATACCAAGACAAAAAAAGACCGCAACTTCGTTATTCGCAAGGAATATGTAAACATTGTTCAGAAATATCAAGCTTTACGTCCTTCTAACACCCCAATTGAACGATTTTTTCTACAATATCGCAACGGAAAGTGTATCCGACAACCTATGGGTCAGAATAAAATTGGCAGTATTCCACGAGAAATAGCAACTTTTCTCGGACTTTTAGAACCCCCGTTATACACCGGTCACTGTTTTAGAAGAACCTCAGCCACACTTTTGGCCGAATCAGGGGCTGATCTTCTATCGCTTAAGCGCCATGGAGGCTGGAAGTCTAATTCGGTTGTAGAGGGATACATAGAGGATTCAATCCAAAGTAAATCAAAAATTTGTAATAGTATCGTGGAGGCCATAACGCTGAAAGAACCTCTGTCAGATTCTTGGTCTCGCCCTTCTACATCTAAAATGAGCCCCCATAAGATTGGAAACAATAGCCCTCTCTCGCCAACATTTACGCCAATAGAATCCAATGAATCGGCACAACTATTTAAAATTACTGATACGAGTAGTTTACCACAAAACAGCGCACAATTCACAAACACCAACATAACATTACCTAACAAAAATATTAAACTTAACATAAGTAACTGTAGCAACGTTACATTTAATATTTCTTAATTATTTTCTACTTCTTATTATTTTCTTCAATTTATAGATTATCTTAATGTGTTTTAATTGAAATAAAAATATTTTGTCATTATAAATTGTTTTCTTTTTCATTTTGTCATTTCCTCGCTGAGGTGGGATGAAAAGTTACGTATTGCACTCGAGTGGAAAGATTTTTCACCTTGTGCTCGTTTGTTTCCCTCGCTGACGCTCAGGATTCTAATTTAGAATCACTCGCTGCGCTCGTGATTCAACTTTAGAATCCTTCGCTTGCTCGGTCATCCAAATCGAGCACGCGGTTAAAAAGGAACTTTCCACTCTTGTATAATAAATAACTATTGATTTACCCCGTCATTAAGCCTATTGGAATTTTACACACTAGAGAGTGGCGGTAAACTCATATTAACAAAATTTGAGGAATATCTTTGGTGTCTTTGGTTAGTGTGGCTCTCTCAGGCTTGATTAATCTGTAACCGTATGCGCGCTGCTGCCGCAGCCACTGCCTGCTAGGCCTACCGCTGTTTCAAATAGGATCATAGTGGAATACCTGTCGTCATTTAGTAGCCGCTTTGTATTTAAAGGAGATTAGGCTGATAATGTACCATAATAAAAAACTCTCGATGTTGGCATAAATCATGTCTTCTAAAGTGTTTAAAATTTATTGACACTTATTTGTTTTAGAATGTACGTATGTACTTGCAATACGATGCTACATATGATAATCTTGTACAGGATTCTTTGATTTATTTATAGGTAAAATAGTTTTGATATTAAGAATAACTACTCGTATTAATGATAACACTTGTTTGAACTCTTTATAATAGTTTCGGAGTCTTTAAATAATGATAAATAGTATATTTTATATAGCGTTTGTAAAAAGTGCATAAGTACTTTTACTGCAAAAATTATAACTGTGCGTTTGTGTAGGTTGTCATGGCTATGAATTAATTTGTTTTTTAACTTTCACGTGATCGCTGACTCATATAAATATGCTAAGGCGCTTGAATATTATTAGCTCCTTTTGGGTCATAAATGGTTGTAAGCAACTTCCACAATTCGGACAGCAATTTAATAATAATCTGTATTCTTCTCATGATGCTGCAGTATCATTAAAAATTAGAAAAATGTATACACGAGATATAACTCAAAATAAAGATAAATCGACCTATCCATAGGATAAAGCTACTTCTGCATAATCCCTACTTTACAGTAGAGCGATTTGAAGTTTGTATGATGTAAAATTTGTTTTTACTTGTATTGGTATTTTTCTAGTATTTGATTTTTTTACCAATCATATAAAGCATTGAGAAGCAAATACGCATTTATTGTTTAAAAAAACTACATTTACGGCTCATATTTTGTTATTTAAGAGCATCTTATGTGATTATGTGACAATTTACTACGGACATCTTTATGTTATATATGCATATCAGACCTTATGCTTGGGAAACGTGTCAATATTATATGAAGATATAACTTTGTTTTACAAAATTTATATGTCCTCTCGCGTCACATTATGATAATATGGCAAATAAGAAAAATAGAATCAAATATTTAGTAAAAATTCTCAGTTTGTAATAAAATTGAAGCCGTGCACGCTGCTTTCTTGCCTATCCAAAAGGTACTAGTGCTCTTGACTCTATATTTTTCGGAAACAAAAATCACATGTACCTTTATTCAATTGCTATCTTCGAAGTTATATAATTTTTAGAATAAATGTTTTTACCAGTAAAATATATGCGTCCGTTTCGCCTAAAAGTATAATAAAAGTAATTTTATAACATTTTCATTTAGTTTTCTCTTGTATCATAAAGTAACATAATTTTTTTCGTTATTAACTTTATACACAAATACTTATATAACGTACTACCAATTACACGTTCACATAATATATTTTGAGAGTGAACTAATATTATTAGTTCACTCTCAAAATATTAGATATAGTTTTCGACCGCGTGGAATACATATAAAGCTTTCGACTGCGTGGATCACGACATCCTTCTTCAGAAACTTTACTGCCTTGGTATACAAGGCGATTGGTTGCTCTGGGTCCGTTCTTACTTCACCAAACTGTCGTTTTGGGTGGATATAGATCTAACCTTGTCTCTATAGCCTCTGGAATTCCCCAGGGGTCGCATCTTGGTCCTCTCTTTTACAAAAACAATACCTATATTTATGAGATAGACAAAGTAATAAAGAACTCAAACATTTACTGTACTTTGACGACACAAAGGTAAGTAGGTTCTGCTTAAGATTGTGAACTTTTACAAAAAGATCTAAATAAACTGTATACTTACTATATCAGGAATAAAATGACAGTTAATACTGGGAAATGTTATTGTATAAGCTTTACACGCAGGAAATATCAGATTGTATTCACTTACAATTTTAACGGTGTTGCAATGGAAATGGCAGTTCGTGATTTGGGTCTTTGCTTTGACAGTAAAATGACCATGTTCACTCACGTTGGTACTGACTGTAATGGGTAAGGTGTACAGTTGAAATGAAAAAATGGAAAAAAACTAAAAATGCGTCGAAGGCATACAAAAAAATTGTCAGACACCTTAACTTAGGCAGGTAGACTTAGGTGCCGTTTATAAAGAAGTATGTCGCGCTTCCAACCTCCTTGCGCTGGAGGAGCGTCCATAGGTTCTGGATATGGGCGTATTATACGACGTCTTCCGTGGTCGTATGGATTGTTCTGAGCTCGTTGAGCTGATCTCACTGAGGACTCACCGGCATCGTACGCTACACACCCGATTATTAAATGTTCCAAATCGCCATACTAATTACGGACAAAACGCTGTATTCACCAGACTCCCACACATTTTCAATAAACTATTTTTTTATATTGACTTGTTTATTGAACCTTAGCACCTTTTTCTTGCTAATATTAAGCGACATCTGTGCGGTGGCTATAATGTGTTTGTATAAATTTAATTAGAGATGTAGTAAATCAACCCCATTCAGCATTGTTTTAGGTACCAATCCAGACTAGCAAAGGAGTCTCTTTGTCCATAATTTAGAGGCAGTGTTTTTCAAGAGGCAACTGTATTTTTTTTTCTTTATGTTGTATTGATTGCACGATTAATCTCATATTTATATAATCATATATTTATATTTTTATTTATATGTACATATATTATATCTTATTATATTTATGTGTAGGCAAATGTAATTTTATGTTAATGTTAATTGGTTTTCCATAAGCAATTAAGTAAATATTCAGATAAAGTTGATGTTACAAAGTGGATGATCGTTATTGGCCTACAAAACACAAAGAAATTTTAATGTAGAAATATATCGAGCTGTGATTTCTTTTTTTTCCTTTAAAATAAATAAATATCTTTGCCCAATTTTCTTCGATTTTAAAAAAATAACCTCCTCATATAACAACTTTATATCAAATTTAAACAGTTTATTTGAACAATAAATAAATCATGCCTACATGAATGTTCGGTTTGTGTTTCCTCGAATTTCATTTGTACGCTATTATTAACTATCTATAAACGGCTCATATGCCCCAAATAAAAAAATACATTTCAGTTTGTACAACACAGTTGTAGTCTACAGTTTGTAATTTCATTACAATTTGTCGCATTTCATTGCAATACATATTTCAGGTAATCGATAATGAACCGAAAGGGTTTTCTAGGTATTAACAGACATTGCGACAGTTATACTCAATTCAAGGCTTTTGAAGAGCAAGTTATTTTGGGGATTGCTGAAAATTTTCTGAAAATTAAAAACCACGCCCCTTTACAGGAGTGCCGTGATTGGCCACCGCCGTTACGTAGACGAGCCCGTAGCGGCCAATGGCATAATGTGCTACGCGCAGCCGTAGCACGTAGTTCAGAGGAGCGCGGGGCGCTACGCGATCGACAGACGCCGCGAAGGAGCCTGCTACGCCTGGGAACTGAAATTATGTAAGTATTCTTTCAAATTAATACTCAAATTATATACCCTTTTATGTTTTGTGATAAAAGGTGATATAAAAAGGTTGTTTCGTTTTATTGGTTTACAAAACTTTTCATGTCTTTTTGATGTTACTGAGGCGTATATAAATATATATGTAACTATTACTGATTACATAATACTGTTACCAAAATCATTAAGAATCTTAGTTTTACTAAAAGAAAGATTTTGGTATTTTTCGATATTTTTTGCAAAAATAATTTCTAAAAGGTTCCTTTCTACATTCAAATCGAATGAATAGTCGTAACTGTTACTTTCAGATCTTTTTATTTAAGGTATTGATAATTTTGATTATGCTTCAAGTCCAAAGTTATATAATATATTTGATAAATTTTATTAGCACTGAACATAATCGGTCTGCATTAGATAATCTAAAATGCATAGAATGCATAGATGCATAGATAATCTGCTTAAAAATATTAGGAAGTCATTGTTTCAAATTTTAAATTATAATAGATTGATTAATTATGGAGAAAGGAACTATTTTAAAGGATAGCGTTTATCTAGCTTTAAAATAGTGTTGGTCCCGAGGTGGAAACTATAATTTTTATCACCCGCTATAAAAAAATATGTAAATTCAACTAATATTTTTAGCGTCCGATACAATGTTCTCTGGGTTTATTATAATACTTTTTTACTCTCGCTACTTGAGGAAGACACACAATTTTTTTTAAATAAAACCAAATAAAATGCGAATTTGCGTAAACAATTAAGAACGACGGCGGAATGCATACTCCCTGAAATAAATAATAATAATTTTATTATTATCCACGGAGAATGAACGAGTTATATGCGTTTAGAGTTAAAGGATGTTTTTTTATTTGATTAACTTCTAAACGAAATCCAAGTTTTAAATCCTTAAGCTTCAGCGCAAAGTTGCAATTCTAGTATCAGTATTTTATCGCATATATTTCGCAGATTGTGCAATGGAATGCATAATCTAATTCTTCCCTCATTATTCCACCATCGGACGGTTAAATGCACGGCAAAGCTACACCGTTATATGGTAGATATTTCACGGGCCCCTATCAAATGCTATGCATCCACCTCTTTTGCGTACAGAGGCGCAAGCACAAATTTTGACAGCTCCGTAATTATAGTAATATAAGTTACATACGGGATTCTTACCATGTACCTTGTTATTAGCGAGTTTCTGATATTTCGGCACTGTTGCAAGCGCCATGATCACGGAGTAACTGAAGAATATCGGAAACTCGCTAAAAACAAGGCACATCCAAGACAATCCCGCAAATTACTTAAATTACTATAATGTTAGTGACCATGAAAGTTTAAAACAATTTATAGCTCCGTAACTGTATCGTCATCGTCAAATTTTGTATGAAAGGAGTAAATTTGTTCTTGCGTTCGTTGGGGTTAAAACTAAGCAGTTTTCATAGTAACTTTGACGATTCGATACAATCACGGAGCCGTGAAAATTCGTGCTTGAGCCTTAGGTCAGTCATGGGATTGGCTGCCAGCTTCTCTGGTCTCTGATACACATTATCTCGATCTATTCGAATCGCGAGTGAATTCTATCCCCCAAGACAAGTAAATCCTCCTAGACAAGCGTACTCCATTTTTAGCAACATCAGCGGTTACTATCAAGCGAGACGCAGTCTTTTAATACTCTAAAGGGGAATTCCACTAAATAACTATGTATTAATTTATTTGAAAACTACGCGAGATCCTCATCTTTACCTTTCTTTAGAGACCAAACCATTCTTGTGGTAGGATCTGTCGACGTTGACCTCGATAGTAACATTTTAGAGATTACCTCCCTAGTTTATATAGGTATATATCTTTTTTAGTAATTGGTTAAGAGAACTAGATGTATATACATATAAAGAAAATATAACTAGAAAAATGAAATCTAGTTACATTTTCTTTAGATTTAAAACATCAAGCAGTTACATGCTTAAAAAATAAAAATTATAACTATAAAAGCTATCTCTTCTTTCAAATGTTTAACACTTGTAAAAGTATTCATTTGACATTGTGGGTTTCCTATAATGCGAAGAGATGGCGCTGCCTTGCAGCATCAGGGCCGCGGTAGCATATTTGGTCAGTGCATTCGCCCGGATTGCGAAGGGTGCGGGTTCGAATCCCGCCTGCTGCCTGGTCCGCGTGGATTTTTTTTTTTTTATAATTACTTTAGATTTAAAACATCAAGCAGTTAAATGCTTAAAAAATATAAAATTATAAGGTATATATACATTCCTCGAGAAAAACTAAATGAAAATTCGTCTTTAGTAGACGATTGGGAAAAATAGTTAATAAGGCTGAACTACAGTCTGTTTACAGCTTAATGTTCAGTAAAGCTGCTGTGTCATGAGAATCATAAAAACAGAACACAGTTGCACTGTCCTCTAATTATGCAAATCTTACTTTTGAATGAAGCATTTAAAAGTGGCCCTTATTAAAGAAGTAAGTATTCCGTTGTGATCATTTCTTTGTCGGTAGTTAAAGTACACGAAAAACATTTTATTATTCTCACACTGGAATTATTCCAACTTCTGCTTAGATGATTCCTTAGGTATTCTTCCTTTTTAGGGTTCCATACCTCAAATAGAAATGTGTATGTCTTTCTGTCAAGACCTTTTATTGCGGGAACGCGTGGAGTTCTTAAGATGAAATTTAAACCTCTCTTGATTTAAAACTCAGGTCTACGGTCCCTTGAAGCTGTGACTAAATCAAACACTTTAGTCAACGTAAAAAGATACGGGCGTTTATTTGTCTATCTGTCTGTCTGTCAGGATTCTTTATTTCGAAAATGCGTGGTATCGAGTTGAAATTTAAACCAGGTCTACGGTCCCTTAAAGCTGTGAAAAAATCAAAATGTTTACGTTATAAAGAGATACGGCTGTTTATATTGCATACCTACTAATTTGTACGGAACCCTCGGTGGGCGAGTATGACTTGAACTTGTCTGGTTTTTTTCACAGTGCCATATATTTTACAACACTAACACTAATTAAGCACTGTAAGGCTTGTGTTATGGGATACTAGGGTAACGGATAGAATACATATACAATACATATATAAGTATATTTATATAGAAATACATTATTAAACATCCATGACTAAAGTACAAATGCTCGTATTCATCAAAAAAACATCTGCCTCCACCGGGATTCGAACCTCTCCAGTAGGCGACACCTTGAAACCCTGCGTAAAAACCACTCGGAGTGGGGGCTCGTGACGTCACTTCTAAGTAAAAATTGTACCAAGACGTAACGTAATTTTTTTTTCTAAAAAATGTAATGGTTTAATATGTAAAGAAATTCCAATAGTTTTTAGCAAATCTACGTGATAGTCAAAGACAAAAAAAGTTAGTCACCATCCCTATTGCAGATTGTCCTGTATATATCTAATATATAAAATTCTCGTGTCACGGTGTGCGAAATTGAACTACTCCGAACCGGCTCGACCGAATTTCGTGAAAATCATATTCAGTAGGTCTGAGTATCGGGCAACATCTGTTTTTAATCCCCCTAAATGTTAGGGTGATCCGGTCCACCTTTAAATTATTTTTTTTGGACATCCATATATTTTAAAATTTTTATGATACATCATACAAAAATACATACAACCCTAAAGTTTCACTTTTCTACCACTAACCCCTATTTTTTATCGCGGCACGAAGTTCGCTGGGAAATGAAAACCATGTTAAGAATGGCATCAAGAAAATCGGTGTCCTAAAGAACTCGCAGTGCCTTTTAACACCCAATCAACTGTGCTTGTTTGCGCAACACGCAAATGCTGTTCTGCGTTGAATATGGCTTGGCTCTAGTCGTCAAGTAATCGATGCTTTGTGTAAGCTACAAAGCCGGATGATGCGCAACATTGGCGATCTATACGTGGCGAGCGCGTCATTAACCGTACATACATACCACCAATACCTCGGCGGATATTCTCAAGTGGTTTTCTCAACCGACACAGATCACACTAAAATAACACTACCTTTTGGTGGGTCTCTGACGGTGAGTAAGGTTGGTGTGAGGATTTGGGACAGAGTAGGCACCGATTTATTTATTTGTTTATTTTCTAAGAAAACCAACAGCGTTTTTCCGATACAAAATTTACAGCATATACATTTCTAAAAGTATGGCCAATGACAGGTTTTCCTTAAGTAAATTAATAATAGGTGACTTATTATTGATACTTCTATCCCTAACAAGCGATCATCAAACAATCCATCCGTATGTGCTCGTTATGTAATCTTATAAAAGTGTTGATCAATTACATGCAACGGACACCAAAGGCTAAGGACACCCTCCGGATACAAAGCAGTTGCCTGTCGTGACCACAATATATTTGAGCAGGAGTCTTTATTTTCTGTATCTGATATTAAAAAATAAATTAACATCAAACTATGTATTTCAACTAAAATAGCTAAATGAAAGTCAAACTGCGTCTCAAACTCTAAATCGATGCGATATTTTTTTTTTCTAAATACGAAGGATAACAGCCCATCTTTTCAAGTGATTATTTTTTATTAAAACGTAACGATAGCACTATTCAGAAGCAGTTGCCGCTGTTACTCGCGGTAGCTTTATTTAACTAATGATATTTGATTGTGGTTTTGAAATATTTTGTGTTTAGATTTTGTTTTTCAATGCAATATTTTACGCTAATATAATTTCATCTATATCACTATTAATGTATTCTTCTAAGGAATTTTCAATTGGTAAGAAATTTTCTTTGAACGACAATTACTCCTAAACTGACAAATCTATATTGACCTTTATAGTTTTCCTTAAAAATTCATGAAAAGGACTATTATCGTATTTTTAAAATTTGTTTTAAATTTGTTTCTACCATTTTATCCGTGTGTGATTGATATACATATCTCCAAAAAATTACAGCTCTCTAGTGCTAACAGTGTCCAAGAAAAACCGGGGACGAACATACTAAAAAACGCTCTCTCAACTTACATAATTTTTTGTTTCCTATTATATTATAATTTCATATTTGTGGAATGTGTATACAAATAAATTTATTTTTAATTAATTATATTTATAGACCTAAGGACACGGATCGTTTGTTTTGTAAATTGGGGTATTAGGTTAGCAATTTTCTTATATTAACATGTACTTAAAATAATGGAAAAATACTTTTACCTACTTGATCCTCAAAGATGACGAATCGGTATAGTTTACCATCCGTTACAATATAGATAACTACAAATTAAAGGAATTTTGAAAAAAAAAAATGAGAATTAAGTACCTTCTTTGTTTATAATTTAATACTGATGGGTACTCTCTTTTTAAAGAGACATTTAAAAAAAGATTTATATATTATTAACACAGAATAGTTCCAAATGGATAGTAAGTACACACACTGTTTCATTCGTATCAAAAAGGACAGTAATTTTATGTATTTTAATTAACTGTCATTGCTTACACACTCGCCAGTATTCCGTCGATTATAAAGAATTTTATTTTGTATAAAGGTTGTTTTGTAAGTAACAGAAGCAGGCAGCTTTAAAAAGTACAAAGTATTATTGCATAGAGTTAATTTATATAGGCAAATGAAATATATCATGTATTAAATATTGTTGGCCTCCTAGCATAGTGCGTAATTCGAGTGCTTACAAGTATATTTTGCTGTTTATTCATGCAGCACAGTCATTATGTTTAGCTATTTAACCATTTACGAAGCAATGTATCGTTTAAAAACTCGGTTAAAGAATCAAATTAGATTTAAATGTTGTTTATCTTTTAGAGTGGGCTATTCCATGAAACCTTCATTATTGTTATATATGTAACAAAAAGAAAGTTGTAATTTTTCATTTTAAAATTTACGTACAGTTTAAAAATAGAGATTCTGATAAACTCCAATCTGTGCAAAACTAAAACGCGGCCTTAAACCTTTTGATATTTGGTCAAAGATTGAACGATACATAGTTTCATACGCTCTTGGTTATATCACTGGTTGATATTCGGATTCGTTTACAGGTGTTAGAGAAGTGTGAACGTTTGATGAAGACGGTGGATCCAACATGCAGGGGCTACAAGCCGCGAAAGAGAAGGCTTCGGGCCTTTTCGCTAACAGACCCCTTTTGTTCAAGTAAGTGGTGACAGTATTCTAGAATAAAACAGATTTTTACGGATTATATGCACTGAAATTATTTATTTATTGACGTTTCAATATGGATACCGTAATACCGGATTATAGATACCGGTAGTTTACAGTAGTTAGGGTAAAATAAATAAACTGAAAATTATAAAAATAATTAAATAAATCATTTTATTAATAAAATTAGCTAATAAATTCAAGGTTAGACTATAAAATTTTAGAAATCTTGCAATGAAATATCCGAACGCTCAATGAAAGTCTTTCGAAGGTAGCTCGACAAAGTAAATAAAAATCATTATTCCGATGATAAATTCCTGAAAAGGATGCGAAACGTCAATAAATAAATAAATTCAGTGCATATAACCCGTAAAAAATTGTTTTATTTAAGGAGCGATGTGCGTGACAACCTAAGAAACAAATAGTTTTCTACAAGTTAATTTGCAACGACGTAAATTTATATTGGATTAACTTATTACTTGTTTGACATAAGTGATTCATATTTACAATCACATCACATTACATATTTACAATCAATTTATTATGTGGATGTGGGGAGAGGCAAATATATTTAATAAAATGTTTAGACCAGAAAATATTCGATGTAGGAGTTTTTCGAATTATTTTGACAGATCTTACATTCGGATGCAGATAAACTTGTCTGTGACATGGTGTGATCAATAGTGATCAATCCGTTGAATTGGTATAACGATAGAGAAAGTAACCACTTCGTTTGATGTAATAAGTTTAGGGTAATGGGACTGACGTACGCTGGGTACTTACTGTTCGAGGGCATTCTCCTTGAACATTACTGTTACTAGCATTATACTTTTCTCATTACGACCAATGATAAAAAAAAAGTTTTGTGCCCTGAGCAGAAGAGTGGCATTTGCCCGCGGACTTTTTTGTTCGCCAAAATAAATCGCTTACAACTGCATTGAGTAACGCACATGACGCGTTAAAAGTACCGTATTAAAAAAAGTCCGCCGAACAATCGAGGATACCGAGAGACCGGATTGAACAATAGCACGGTTGTCACCGATAAAAGCAGAACTCATGTCACTCGGCGCAGCAACGCACACTGCGAACTTTAGTCCTCGATACAATGTAAAGAGATGGACCCAGTATTCTATTTGAAAACTTTTGTAATCTGTGAATATTTACTTCCATAGCGGCGCTTCTCTAAATGTCCGCGCACCGTGTGCGTTGAGTCCGTGATAAGACCTCGACAGACTATTATTTTTTTATAGTCAGGGACTTTTGTTCGTGGAGAACAAAAGTCCCTCGTCTGCTTAAGCCATTATTGTCCGCAGTTCTTCTTCTTCTTTATTCCGCAAATACACATTACAACACACAATTTAGAATTGATGGTGTCTATGTAGACTCTGAACAGGTTTATCTAAAACAAACATATTAGATAGACACAAAACTTATTGTATGCAGTAAATGATTTTCAGGAATGTTCAGGAATATTACATATATAAAGTAAAATAAAATAACATTATATGTGTATTATTAATCGCTGCAGAGTGAATCGATCATCACCCTGATCACTCGTTTTATTATAGAGTACGAGAGAGTACCTGTGACTTAAGTTAAATTAAAAAAAAGCTTATTAAAAATACTCATTTCATAACTGTATATATAACCTAAATGTAGGTTTGTACGTATGTGATAACAAGTCATTTTTTTTCTTCTTAGTACGCGTATTATGTACTTTGTGGTTTGGAGATTAATTTTTTAGAAAAGGATCTCGATACACACCGAAAATATAGTTACTTTCATGTGTACAGTAATTGACAAGTTGTTACTTTAAATACTTGCATTCTATGAGTACCAACATCAAATTGAGAAATTATTCAAACGGGTTCCGCTGTCTTTCAACTAGGTTTGTACTTAGGGCACTAAATCTGAATTTTCAATACAGTTACGTACGCACGTACAGTTGAATTGGCAGGTAATATTTTCAAGAAAGTAAATAGTTGTTAAAAAAAGACAGTCTGCTGAAATACAAACAATAGTTGTCGGGAGTAGTTGGGGCTGGGAAGCAATTTAGCGGGAAGCACCGAGTCGATCGCCGATAATATTGACAGCCGAGAATAATACGTGTTGCAGAGGAAATAAAATATAAGGGCGGGCGAATCTCAGCCTGGCTTCTAACAATGAGCTAGGGTTGGCATTTCAAACGAAATAGTAAATGCATAATAAAAAAACAGATGTTGAAATTCTTTGAGGTTTGTATTGCTACTTAAATATAAATTATAAGCAGTGGCTGTATTTTCATGTATTTATTTGAAATTGATGTAAAATGTTTTGTATCCAAGACCATTAAATTGAACTTGTTTTAAATCCCAAGGCGTCTGTTTTTGAGAACTATATTAGGTTAAATGTAACCAAAATATTTTTAAACATAGTTTCCATACATGAAATTAAAAGTAATTACGTGCGTAGCTACACTGGTTCCTAATGTAATAAAAAATAACTTAGTGATAAATTAAAAAACCTCCTCCGGTTAGAAGGCGGTCTAAAATATTATTTTTAGGTTGACAAAAACTTGAAAGAAATAATATACCTACTTCATTTATTTTCACGCACACGAATAATTTTATCATATCACTGAATAGTAATGAAAAATAAAATGTTATATTACGGAATTCAATTTAAAAATAACATAATATTAATTACTCCGCATTTTGGCAGCCCTGAGGTCGTGGGCTGTTCAGGGCTGATAACGAACAGCCGTCATCCGGATTTGGATCCTCATGCGAATTCAATATTCCTGTTTCAAACAAACTGCAATTATTAATCTGTACAGTGGAAGAAGTTTGTTTAATATTAATTTATAGACGGCAATGGCGTGAGCGTGATTATCTTAAGAGCCTTTTTAATCTAAAGCAGTGGTTCTTAACCTTTTAGTCATGAGGGACCATTTTACCAAATGTTTCTATGGCCGGGGACCACCCAGTTGGTTTACCTAACTAAAATGACCTAAATTAAGGGTTGTTTGATAAAGAAAACAAGCACAATTTTATAATTAGCACTCATTTATTTATTATTTGGCAAAAATATAAAAGTTACAGATTTTAATTTAATGTGATTTTTGTGCCTGCATACTCTTTACTAACTTCGGAATTCTCGGTTCAGTACTACTCAAAGCTAAACGCATATCGGCAGTGGCATCCAACCGATTTCGATGCTTGTTTTTAATAATCAGAAGCGTCGAAAACCCCTGCTCGCATAGATACGTCGATGAAAATAATGTTAGGTAACGTATAGCAATGTCTCGAAGCTTTGGAAAAGAAATTGCTTTTTGGCTCCAATAATCTTCAAGATTTATTCCTGATTCGAATGTATCTTTTAAGTTCGTGTCGTGTTGCATTTCAATCACTTCTTCTTGAATTTCATCAGAAACTTCAGAAACGTTGACAATGAAAGGATTCCGGATCAATTTCTGAATACTTTTGTCCTCGCAGTCAGGAAAATAGCGATTGAATTCACTTTTTAAATTAGTCAAATGGAGCATCACGTTCTTCTGAATTTCTTCTTTAATATCTGCACCTTGTCCGTCAATAATTTGGTTGAGCGTATCAAATGCAGAAAAGTTTTTTCTTTCGATCTTATTGATCCATAGCTCGATTTTAGCAATAAACGCCCTGATTTTATCTTCATATGCAAATATGTTGCTCATGCCTTGCAACTTCAAATTTCCGGACCCTTGCATTTGGAGGTTCAATTTATTTATTTGCGCAAAAAAGTCGACCAAATAAGCAAAACGTACTTTATATTCGGGCTCACAGAACTGATCTAGCAACTCTTTGTTTTCCTTGATAGTTAAGAATACTTGTACTTCCTCTCTTAGTTCGTACAACCTCGACAGCATGTTTCCTTTTGAAAGCCAACGAACTTCTGTGTGGAAAAGCAGAGTTTCGTGTTCAGAGTTCATGTCAGAACACAACTGTTTGAATAGACGAGTATTGAGTGCGCTCTTTTTAATGAAGTTAACTACTTTTATAGCTGTTTTCAGAGCTATAGTAAAACATTCCGGGAGCGTTTTGGCAGCCAATGCTTGACGGTGAATAACGCAGTGCGTCGTAATTGCGGAAGGATTTTTGGTTTTTACCAATGCTGCAAGACCAGAGCGAGAACCAAGCATAGCAGGAGCACCGTCAGTACAAAACCCGGCAAGCCTTTCCCACATAAGTCCATGTTCCTCCATATATTGGCTTATTGCATTCATAACATCTGCACCTTGCGACGTAGTTTTAAGTTCTTGAGAAAATAATAACTCTTCTTTAAACATTTTGTTGTCCTCCAAAAATCGAATAAATACAAGTAATTGACAGCATTGCGAAACATCGGTAGACTCATCACATTGTAATGCAAAATAAGGGCTGTTTTTAATCTTGTCAATAACTTGGTCTTCAATATCAGTTGACATTTTTTGAATACGCGACTTAATTGTGTCATTAGAAAGCGGTATTTCACGAATTTTCTTTTGAGCTTCCGCACCTAAAAGCTCTTCTGCAACTTTGAGCATACAGGGCTTTATTAAAGATTCGCCGATTGTGTGTGCTTTTTTCGATTTGGCAATCAATTTTGAAACTTCAAATGATGCAGATAATGTTTTTTCAGAGGTTTCATAACTTGTTCCACTGGGTCCAAGTTTCATTTTTTTAAGACTTGTTAGTTTGCCTTCAAAGAATTCTCGCGAACGGTTACAAAACTTCGGATGCACGGTCTTCAAATGACGTTCCAACTTTGCCGGTTTTAAAGCGTCGTTAGAAAGAACAGTTGCACATAAAACGCATTGTGGTCTAGTTTCGCCATTAATTTCTATTGAAGTAAAGCCCAGCTTAATATAGTCGTCGTCATATTTTCTTTTTGGTGGCATTTTTCTGAAAACGAAGTTTTAGCGATAATATGGACAGGTATAAGATCTGATAATAAAAATGTGTTGTTTTGATAAGCTTTTATTTGTGAGGTCTATGGCCAGC